AGCAAGTCAAAACAGGAGGATGTCTCTAGATGGTACACAGAGGAACTGTCAAACTGATGCATTTTCTCAACAACAAAATAAGGGGGTGCATTGATTGGTTGATAAAATGTGGCCAGAGGCTCCCCAACCCTGTGTCTTCCCAGGAGTGTGGTTCAATAATTAACCCCATGTTCACAGCAACTCGAAAGAACAAGATGAGAATCGACTGCCCCTCAGATATAACTGCGAGGGAGAAGCGGAGGCGAGGCTGTTACGCTCTTTCCAGCAGGCTGTTTTAGCAGTCCAGCAGCATGCCCACGCTGTTGGTGTGGCATGCCAGGGAAAGCAGATCAAAGGCAGCCCCCTGAGGCAGGCCAGGCACACTGAAGTGGTGGACCTCTCTGGTGGCCAGGGATTACTCACAAGTTCCAATACCATTCTGTACTTGTGACCCAGACTCCAGGTCAGAAATGGCTCATGCCCAAGCTGCTGTTCCTAGAACTTCCAGCAGCTGCTGCCCACACATGCCCTGCCCCCACCCTGTCTCTGCCAGGTACAGCCATCACAGCGCCATGCTATTTCACTGGGATTTCTTCCCCTTCACCTACGGCAGGTGGGGGGACTGTCCAGCCCACAGCCCATGGAAGGCCCTTGAAAGCATTTAGTCTGGCACTGCCAAGGCAACCACAGGCAGGGCTTGAGATTCAATCCATCGTGGGGCTTTTTCGTAGCAGTACACATTTATATTAAGGAGGTTTTTCATAGCAGTACACATTTATATTAAGGAGGTTTTTCATAGCAGTACACATTTATATTAAGTGGTTACAAATTGGGCTGCTAACCTCATGGTCAGCAGTTCGAAACTACCAGCAGTTCTGCAGGAGAAAGATGAGGCTTTCTGTTCCCATAAAGATTTACAACCTCGGAAACCATGTATAGGGTCGCTATGAGTTGGAACCGACTCCACGGCACATAACAACAACAACACGTTTATATTAAGTGATGTTATAAACATGCAAATGGCCCTTGGCAGAAACAGGTTCCCCATGAGGGAAAGTGCTGACAGGTCCATGCGCCACCATGTTCTCTGCACTTTAGCTCCCCCAAGAGGCAGGCCTGGGTTATGACATTCAACATGAGTTCTGTGGGGCTCAACCCACTCACAGGCCCCGACACTCTTAGAGGTATAGGGCACCTCCCCAAGGGCATGTCCCAGGGGGTCAGCTCTGAAGAAGACAAAGTCTCGGCTCCTACCACTGGAAGTTCACAGCACACACGGGCAAGCAGCACCCAAACATATCCACGACCTTCATGGGCAGGTCCAGACCGCTGGAAGACTTGTGGAGGCTGACACCCAGGTCCGCTGACCCTAGGAACAACGAGAGGGGGCCTTCAGAACAACGTGTACACATCCTACAAGGACTGAGAGCAGATGCCCCCTGGAATTGGACAGAATCCCTGACCCAAACCCAGTGACAGAGCTACTGTCCAGTGGGCGCCGACTCACAGGGTGTCAGAGAACAAACGCACTCCACGATGTGTTCAATGGCTGATGTGGCCAAAGTAAATCCCCAGGGCTTTCTTTCTAGGTGCCTCGGAGTGGCCCTGAACCTCTAAACTTTCAGTGAGTAACCGGCACGCTAACTCCCCAGACCCAAACACAAGGAGCTTCAGCCAAACAGCCTGGTGAGGGGCTGAGGAGCCAGCAGTGCCCCATCAGCCACTCCTGAGCCTGCCGCACCATCTGAAACATCCTGTCAGCTGCCTATATTTTTGGACTCCTGCTAAACCACAATTCATTTTAAAAGACTCCAACAGAAAACCAGCCAACCTTGTACAAAGAAACGGGCTCTGGTGGTGCAACAGCTAAGCGCTTGGCTGCTCACTGAAAAGGAGAGTCGTTCGAACCCACCCAGCACCTCCAAGGGAGCGCCCCTAAAAGGACGGCTTAGGAAACCCTGTGGGGCCAGACCGCTGTGTTGCAAGGGATCGCTGTGAGTCAGCACAGTCTCAGCAACACCCACAGAAACAAGCATCACCTGGTGCTCACCAGCTGCCAGGAGATGGCACACTGGAATCCCCCCAGGTGGCAGCAAGGAAGGGGAAGTGCATTCGATGTTTCCACTGCACTGCTAACTGCAGGTCGACAGTTCAAACCCACCAGCTGCTCCTCACAAACCCTATGCAGGGCCACCATGTTGTTGTTGTTGTTGTTGTCAGGTGCCATCGAGTCGGAACCGACTCATAGT